CGCTTGAACGACTCACAGTACGAGTCTATTCGGAAGATGAGAGACATCTTTGGACAAGATGTCCTCCGCAGCTTGACGCCTGCCGAGCAACACGAACGCGTGGCCGCGTTTATGACCTACGAGCGTGGTCTCATCGCTCACGTCCGCGGGAGCTTGGAGGCCTCGATGGCCGCTTCCCAGGCAGCCAGGCCTAAGCCGGTATGGCTGAAGGTCCCCGCGTTAGAGAGGAAGGAAGGAGAGAACCTCCACTTCTGGGTCAGCAAGGTGGCGATCACCATGAAGGCGGGTCTCATCTCGAACGAGCCACTTCGGGTGGTCGTTGCCCTGTCCAACCTGGGTGGATGTGCCAAGCACTGGGCATAAACCAGAGAGACGACATCTTATCTCCTGGATGCTTTGTATCCTGAGATCAGCTGTGTGAACAGCTTTGAGCCGCATTTCTACGGGCGAACAACGAGTTCCGCCAGCGCCCACGCTTTCTCGCGTGTAAGCAAGGTAGCGTGAGCTGCAAGAGATGCGCACGTTGGTGGCATCTGTGACAAGGAATACTTTTTCTGGAGGCATCAAGACAACAGTCTTCATGGACGGCCTGATGGTCGGTCCTGCTCGCACCCAGTTATTCCGGTTACTATGGAGGAGGCGATTCGAATCGCCCTCCAAGAAGAGTACAGCCACAAGCAGACTGGTACTCCTAGGAAAGAGGAATATCGCAGCAACGACGCTGTTACTCCTGCTGTCACACAGCCCGATGATACCGGTGCGTACAGCGAGCCCGAACCCATGGACTTAAGCTCGATCGAGAGCTTGGTCCGCTGCTACGGATGCGGCGGACATGGACAGTGGACATAGACACTACCAGCGTGTATTTCCCATCGCCAGTCCTCGGGAAGAAGACAACCCGTAAACCCCATGTCCGGTGACGCAGGCCACGTCCAGATGGACGTAGCTGTCGTGCCTACCAGTGGCGATCACAAGCCACGAGCGACTCAGTAGTCTCAAGATTAAGTGGGGGAGAGGCTCATAATTACCTTTCCTCCCTGGTTTTTCATGAGGCAAGTAGCCGTCGTGCTGCCAGTGGCTATCACAAGGCACAAGAGACTTTATGGTCTCACGTTTAAGTGGGGAAGCGGCTCGGAAGTACCTTTCCTTTCTGGTGTTGCGGTGAGACCAAGGTCCTTACGGAGCCAGGCGTCGATGCACATCGACTGCAGACTGGAGGCGAACAGCCAGGCTAGAGTCGCGGTAGCTCTTGCCAAACAAGACAGAGTGGCGACGGAAGCCACTGATGCTAGGTGCCTCGGAATCGCTGAGTGAGTCGGCAGTGTCTGCATGCAGCCTCACACGAGGCAAAGCGGGGACCTGATGCAATCACTGCACAGGTCCCTTGGACATGAACGACCTGTCCAATAGGGTTAACGGAGCGTCTCACCCGCCGACAAAGCGGTTGAGGTACGTGATGTACGCAACGCGCCGGGCGTAATGGGCCGTGGAGTAAAAACCCAAGTGTGGTGCACGAGTCCCCACACAACTGACCAGATGGTGGTCGACGCAACGCACGTAGTCTTAACTGTTGCCGCGACGAGGATGGCACCGTTGTGGTGGCTGATTGCCTCACCATTTTTTGGTACCGCCTGCGTACTCGGTGACAATGCGAGACACCAACGCCGCAGTGGCATGGTGGTGAGATATGCCCCACCATAATCGAGTTCCATTAAGGTACAAGTGCCTATAACAGACACTGGTATGGGTGCAAAGGATGTGGACCATACCACGACTTGATGCTGCTCTAGGCGTCTACGCGGTGATGCACCCGCGCATCAGCACTGGCTGCGTTCGAGCTGCCTGCCGGGCGTTCCGCGTAATAAACTTGTCGTGCATGACACACATGAAGTGCACGGAGCACTTATGGTAGCTGTGGTACGGGTCGAACACGGCGTACCTGGGCTGCGGGCCCATGGACCTGTACACCGTGCTTGCACATGCGTCGTGCATGTTGCGAGCTCTGGCCATGAATCAGTTCAGGTGACAGCACAGTAGAAGCTGTTGCCGCCGATCAAGGTAACCATGTGGTGGGCGTGCCGCACCAAAGGTGTGTACCGGAAGGTACATGGTGTCGATGGGAGACACCTGCATCACGACTGAGTACCATCACGGTACACGTGTCGATGAAGGACACCTACGCGCCGTTGGCATGACAACCAAGACGAAAGAAAAACATGGCAGAAGCTCCGCCTTCAAGGATGGATCCTTGCTGGAGCCAAAGGCATGGCCCGAGGTGAGCTGAGAGCCCCCTTAGTGCTGGGGCAGGTGTTGCCCTTGTCGGTGTCGTCCCTCGCATCATGCTCCGGACGCGTTCGCGACGACTGTCGTGTTCTCTGTTGCGAGCTGTGGGCGAATTCCACACGTTCGGATGGTATTACACCCTGTGCCAAAGCACTGTACGCGCTAGCGCAGGATCTAAGGCAGCTCTGAGTGTAGGCTTTGTGGCTAACACAGCTGTGAGCATAGGGATGTAAATCCCAGCGTGCTCTAAGAGCACAAATCACTGTAAATTTGACTGAAAGCCTCTACATGCTCGTGGCTGCTCAGTGTAAGAACTTACCTTTGGCTGTTTAATTCTCTCATCTCTTGTTGAAGAATCAGGTGGTTCTCAGATAAGTGGGGGGGATGTAACGGGATACAATCCAGTGTACCCCCAGGCTACATACAGAGTGACCCGTCACTCTTGTGGACACCTGGTACACGGTACACGGTACCAGGTGAGCCAGTCAGGGAATAACTACTTAGCTCCCATATAAGTAACCTCTAGTTTGTATGGAACCCAAGCTAAGCTTACTTATAAATACATCAGTCTTACATCTACTATATCAAGTAGCAAACCGTTCCCACTAAGGCCGGGAGCATGTGGACTAACGTTCACTCGGGTGGCAAATACCCTTAAGCACTTCATCTGAGCAAGGTGCTGGCTGCGTGACCCCGCCACAATAAGAGTGGGTAGCCTTAAGTTCTCAAGACACAAGGTGGGAGAGATGGGCCAGCAAGGTCATCGGATTCTTTAATTTTGCTGCTAAATGATAGCCATGTTCCATAGTTGAAAATATTTTTACTCCTCTTTATAAAAATTAAAAAACATATTAATAACTTATAATATATATTTGTCTAATCATATAGAAGCAGCCACACGACCCAACTTGTCCTTATTGATAAAAAAATGCTTAATTTTCCCAGATTTGTATAATTCGTTTTTAAAACGACGAGTTAGGTCGATCGAAAACACTTTAGGTAATTTCTGTATGGGAGCATGTAATTCGTGCTAAAAAAGAATTATGGAACTAAGAAAGAGCGAATCGCCACTATCTGTACCGAGCCTTTACAGGCGCTATTATACTAATTAAACAGTTTTTGTGGAATACATGTATTATAGTACTGTACTACCCATGGATCTTTGGCGCTGCAGGCAAAAATGCTCATGATTATTTCCCAAGATCTCCCAGATGAATCGCTGGAATTCTCTTGAAGGCGAATCTCACAACGATTGTGGCAATCGCTCTCCAGAACAAATCAAATTCCACAATCAGTGACGAGCGCCAAGTTGACGCTTGGGTGTTGGCGTCCAACATCCACACAAGGCAGAGCATATGGGCACAATCTGGAGAGCGGATGCCATGGTACTGCAAACCTCTAAAAGTCAAGAAGTTGGCGCGAATTCTATCACCCTCCAAGACCAAGACCATACCTTCCTGAGCGCTAATCATATTCGACCAAGCGAGGCTTTAGCCGTGCTTGTTGTGCTTCGCACACGGATCTTAAATCACATGTATTGCTTGAAAGATAGCATTCACCCCCTCCTGCCTGTATCGCACATAATCGGAAGGCTTTGCCCGGCATACAAAATCCTAAGTAACTCCCATGCCACTCTCATCCACACAAAATGCGAGGCCAATTTTTAAAGCACAATATTGTTTTTGTAAAATGTATTACGGCACATGTACTGTACTGTACCCGCTAAAAACCGGCACATGTACGTGAAGTAATGTTGTTAGATTGTCTCCTCGTCACATTTGATTTAGGGGCTAACGTCTTCCTATTTAATACTTATTAATACATGTATTATTACAGTTGAGCCAATGTTATAATACCGGTACACAAAATGAGAGCTCCCTCGAAATGGGTGCTACACTCCCGGCCAAAAATATAAGCTTCATCCAAAAAGACGCTTTATTATTTTCGCTCTAAGGTGCGGCTTTGGCACGAGACCCTTGCACGGCTTTCAAACGGTGCATTGCACTGTACATGTAGAGTAGCTCCCATACAAAATAAACTGATTGTGCACATAATAAAAGAGCGCGAGCCCTCCCTTACAAATTTCAATATCACAAAGAATCTAGGTATTAAGCGGTGTGATAATACTCATGCTCAAACTGCTCCTTAAAAAGATGATAATTGGGAGGGCTGCGGCGCTATTTTGAGGTTTGCTCAATTAATTTTTCAGGCATTCGGAATTCGTTAATCTTGGGTTTCCGTAACTATTTTAGCAAATACAAAAGCTAATACGAAATTTTTATTGGGGTGTACTCGGAGAGGTACTTATATGGAAAAGAACCCGTTGGAACCCTTATAATCCTTGTACACTCCGGAATAAATTAATTCCAGGTATATTTTATATTCCCACGAACATAAAACGTTATTCGTGGATATTACTTGTACAGTACTGTATTGGGCTTTCGGATATCTGTCTGAACTAAGTTCAGTGAGCTTCGAATCGAACGCGATGGACTCTCCAAACGGGAAATTACTACCTTCACGTTCCGACGGTTAGAGGCTTGCTCATCCTACAGAGCACTCCCGACAGCCTGTCGGACAGGATCCCAGTGTTGACGATCATGATTGTCCCGGCCGTAGCATCGGTTGCGCGCCTACTGTGCTGCTCGATGCGATCATTCACTCTTCAATTTGCCAAGCGGCGTATCTTCCCAACTTACAATAATTATCAAACGACCATGCATCTGCAGAGCTTCCTGATGATGGTCGTGGCGACTCTTATCCTCGTAAACGGCAGTGTCTCTGCAGCCGATAGTTTCAACCTCCGTAAAGTGAAATCAACATCTCCAATCAACGCCATCAACACCGTCAAGACAGAATTGACGAGCTCGCGAATGCTACGCAGTGCCGACTTGACTACGGGTGACAATGGACACGTCTACTATTACCCTGCCAAGAAAGGCGAGAGGAAACCGTTCATCGAGGCTAAATTGAAGAAGGCTCTTGCAAACCCAAAGAAGGTTAACCGACTGTATGCAAACTGGTACAAGAGTGGGTTTTCCGCCAAGATAGTTGCCAAGGAGTTAAATCAGAGTGTAAACAGTGAGCTCGGCGACACGTATTATAATCTTGCCAAGGGCTACGCGACGTTCGTCAAGAGAAAGAAAACTCAGCAGCATCTTCTTTGAGATAGCTTAAGTTTTGATGTCGGTTAGAGAATACTACCGTCTTCCCCCGCACACAACGCCTAGGCGCTATAGCGTAGTCTTCAACATACGATAGAATTATTCGTTTGAACGCCTAGGCGTTATGCGACGAAAATAATATGAATGTTTGAGCAAATCAATCAGGGTCTACTTTGTTTAGTGGTGTAAATTCGACCCTCCTATGCTACTGACCGAGGTTCGAGCCCGCCTTCGTGCAGTTCACAACATAAATGTGCGTATAGTAAGGGTCAGTTGTTTTCTTTCATTTGGGGACTGCATTAAAAATACGGAGGTTTTATTATTTTATGAAGAACATATTTGCACAAAACATATTTTTTTCTTTCTATTTTTTCACCATACAAAAGATTAAACAGTGCACCCATCCACCTCAACTGCGAAGTACGATCCGCTACGAGCTAAATGCACCGTCTTCATCGGGTTCTCTACTTCGTAAGTAAATGTTGAGACCACCTTGCAGTCCTTGTCTACTGTAGTCACCTCAACGTTCCAGTCGTGAAGTTTTGAAGCGGCATAAATCTCCAACTCCCCTGGATCTGTGTCTCCGTTTTGAATATCTTCCAGATAATGCGCGTCAATGAGACCGTCGAGATCGTCCAGGGTTTTCATGTAGCTCACCAGCTCGTAAACACAGTCGTCTATAGCAGTTGATGTGCCAAAGAGTAAACAGTAGAACAAGCTTGGCCTCTCGTTCTCGGGCAGGTACCAGGAAGGAGCGGATACGCAGAGCTGCTCTCGATCATCCGCTTCATCAAGGAGATATTGATACGATGTGTGCCATTTCTCCATGTCAAGATCTGGTTCCAGAAGGTCTCTTGAGGGCTGATGAAGCTTGTCTTGGTTAAAGCTTGACTTTGGTACAATCCCGCACAGTGTAAATGCCTTCTTGATGTCATCTGCTTGACGAGTTGCTACCCAGTCCAGCGTCCATTCCGCGACAGTTTTGTAATGGGGGATCTTGGGATTTCCAGCAGCGGTTTGCATAGCCGGATCGATCAACGCTCTGCTAATGTAGTCATCATACTTGTTCCGGTAGAACGATTGATAACTACGATTGACAGCTACGTCAAGTGGCTGTAATATACTGCTGATGTTGGGCGGTACCACCACGACAAAGATGTTGTAGCGCTCCAATAGTGTAGACTCTGCCAAAGCTACGTGACACGCGTAAGAATCGATCAAATAGAGCACCGGCTCCCTAAAGAATTGGGTCTCCCTCCTTGAACACAACACCGCTTTAGAGAAGCGCAGCAGGATATCTTCGTTCCACATGCCAGTACTATTCACATCTACCAGAACACCATCAGGGCACTTCGGACGATTCTTTAGTTTTGAAAAGAGAAGGTGGGGCTTTAGGAAGATTTCAGAGGCTGTAATGGCAAACGTAGCAGTGAAGCGCTTATGGCTTGTCCCTCCCTTTTTTAGAAGTACCTCACGGAATCCGCGAGTCGTGATGGTCGTCTTTGGCTCGGTTTCAAAGTACCTTGGTACTGGGTCCATGTTAACGATGTTGTCAAGCTTGATATTGTGCAGATCGATGAGTTGGTGAACACGATGAATGAAATCACGGCAAATCTCTCCAGCATTATCAGGCAGTATTCGTGTAGTCGTCTGACGCCGAGAGACGAGGTTCTTCCGACGTTTAAACCGCGCCAATTAACCAGTAGACGCACTAAACCCCGATGCCTGAGGACCATGTAGCTCTCGGTAGATGTTCAGAGCTTGCAGCCGGATGAAAGCGTCCTTGACCCGCAGTCCTCTAGTATTTCTGTCTAAAATCCACTCATGTAGACGAAACTCTACATCACCGTGCTTGGCAGGTCTTCCTCCCCCACCCAGCCTTCTTGCTGTACGCGTGGTAATATCACGGTCTCTCAGAGCTTCCTTTAGTTTGTCGCGGAGATCCCACCACCCTCGAATTGTTCCTGGAGCTATTTGGTGTTTTTTCCCTAAAGCAAAGAAGCCTTTTCCTTTGACGTCTTTGGCGTGTTGGGACAGAATATCCAGCTTCTCTTTGATAGTATAGTTTCAGCGCTTGCTTTTCACCATGGCAACTTGGGAATGAGCAACCGACAAGAGGAACGAGAGGAGTTGTGGTCAAACACTGACAGCCAACCACCTCCTATTACAGCTATAATTACACATGTTACTGTTATATGTAGTAGGCGTTGTATTTTGCTATGTGTTCTATACGAATTTTTTATCGCGAAAGTTATAATTCCATTATTTTATTAAAGCGCCTAGGCGTAGTGTGTGGGGGAAGACGGTAGTACCGGTGCAGCCCATTTGTCGGTTGCTTAAACACAAAATGTCAATATTTGAGTCCTACGTCAGTAGCAGTGTACTTTGCATGACAACCGAAGTCTCTGTTTTACTCTATCATCATCGTTTTAGTTTCTCAAATGAAATAACCCCCCCCCAAGCACTTAAAATCAAACTTGACAGCACCTGTATTACAACCCAGCATGTCGACTTGGCTCACAGAATTATATCGTCGCCATCCGCAAGACAATAATATGGTAGCTGAACTGGAAAAGCGAACATAACAAGGATTGGAGACATGCTTTTAATTAGACGGCTTCAGACCAACAAAAACTGAAATAAATAATCCTTAAATAATCGATAAAAAGATAAAAACAATTTCGAAGACGATCTGATTATTAAGGATAGTGTGACCGACGAAAGCACACAATTAAAACGGTACATGTGTACACTGAATTGGTGTCGACAGAACGCTGGGCGCATGTTGTACACTCGGTGAGCATAAAGGTACATGTATAACGCAGGGGTTAACCCCCCAACGCCCAACGGTTGTACGTACAGCAGGAATCATGTTGTACGTACAACATGTTAAAAGTTGGGCTATTTTGTTGCAAAATATGGGCAAACTTGAGAATGCACAGGGCCGGGGTTGTTGAGATCAGTCTCTTTGGCAATAAACAATACAGATTCTCCCCTGGGTTGGTGGCTGAGAGCTCATTTCGAGAAAAGACCTGAAGGAGAGACACGTGTGCACGATGGCCCCGCCTCGAGAAACACGCCGCAAACGCCAGCAGTTCCTGCAACGTCTGGATGGCCGAACTGCGCATGACCGAGAGCGCATCAGGAAGGAGCATGCGGCGTACCTGGCTGGCGAACGAGAGGAGGATGCTGACTTCGGAGAAGATCCAGCACCTACACGCAGCGCGACAGCTCGTCCTCTGCTTCCGGTTCCGATCGGCAAAGATGCCTGTTACGTGCGTGCGCAGCGACGTTTGATCTCGCAACAGCAACGTGCTGTCGCCGCAAAGACGTTGGCAGGCTCCGGCAAGAAACGGTTGGCTGCTAGTAGGGACTTGAGCGACGATGATGAGGACTATGATCCCGATCGGTTCGACGAGGAAGCGGATGCTGATGCAGACGATGAGCGACTGGATGCAGCAGACTCCCCAGTCAAGACACGGCCGCCAAAGAAGAAGAAGAAGAAGACGGCCGCGGCGACCCCGACCAAGAAGGCGACCCCGACCAAGAAGGCGACCCCGACCAAGAAGGCGACCCCGACCAATAAGCCACGAAAACCCACCGCGTCGCAAGTTGCTAAGGCAGCGGCAAAAGCAGCGAGGACAGCAGCTGCCGAATCGCGCTGTGAAGATTCGGCGAATGCCGAGGAACAAGGGAGCATCGCTTTGGCCGAGGCCAGGAAGAGATTGGAGGCGATTGGTGAAGCGAACAAGAAGAGGAGCCGCCAACCAAGTGGGACACCAGAGAGGTACACCATGTTTTATGCTGTCAGATACTACATGTTCTCACGAAGTGTTGTTGTACGCTGCGCAGGTACATACAACATTTGGGACATACAACATGGATACAGCGTCGCTATGCTTTCCCTACAACGTCGTTATCGACAACATGTAAACAACATGAACAGCAGCTAACATATATTGTCTATCTGGAACAGGGGTTCCACCGATTCTCAAGATACGTCAGAAGCACCGTCGCCTCGAACGTTGTCTGCAGCGCCTGCGCCACCCCCGCCTCCTGAATGTCCAGCTCCTGAATGTCCAGCTCCTTAATGTCCAGTTGCAGCACCAGAAGACGATTGGTACGTGGCAAAGTCTTTGATGCTGATTATGTATACTAACGTTGTGCGTATCATAGTGAAAGCTCAGCATCCATTTCCCAGACTCCTGTCCCCGACGCGGCAACCTCTACCCCTGTTTCGCCGACTTCTGCTCCAGCCTCGCTGTGCTCCGCTCCAATTTCACCTGAAAGAACGTCGGTCTCAGCCTCTCCTATCGCTGCCCCCGCTTTCGCTGACGAGTTTGATGCGTTGAGCTCTGATTGCGAGGAAACAGAGACCGAGATTACGTTTTACGATGATGATGACGAGTGGAGTCGAGCGAGAAGTGAAGGTGAGGGCTTTGCGTCGGGTGAAGACTACAGTGATGAGGACGATAGTGAGGCTGGATCAGATACTATGAGTGCTGATGGAGAAGCAGCTGGTTCGACACAGCAGTGGAGCGTCTTAGAGAAGCCGGAAATGGTTGATTTTGTGATGGACGATGCCAACATGGCTGCCATGCGAGCTAACGGGTGGAACTTAGGTTCGTGACAATGAGGGGTGTAGCCTTCAACATATTCTAACATGATATATGATGTATATACAACATGTAGACCCAGACAATTTCCCGCCTGACCAACATTACCCTGGATTATATTCTGGGGAGTATGGACCAACCGACGAGGTACTGGCCCTGACACACTCACCGCTCAAGCTATTCTTCTTTTTCATGCCGAAGCGTTTGTGGAGACAAGTTGCAAAGGAAACCAATCGCTACTTTGTGCAGAACCTCACTTCACGAGTGGAGCGTATGTTCAGCTCGCAGAAGACACCTGCCAAGAAGTCCAAAGAGTGGTTTTTGCATCGCGAGGCCAAGAAGCGGGACGTCAAGCCGCACGAGATACTGCAAGCGCTTGAATTACTG